AGTGGAGGTGAGAGGAGACAGAAATAAAGCCAGGTCCGTCCAAGCCTATCCATGCCCCTGGGAGCAGCAGCAGAGAACCTGGTGGAGACACGGCCACCTTGCACTCATAACTCCTAGCCTCGCAGTTTCTTTATTGCAAGGAAGAGGGCTAGGGGTGAGTCTTGGAAGGAGAGGACGCTGCAGGCTCTGCGCGCGTGGAGCTCCTCGCCCTCTTCTCCCACCCGTGACAAGGGCTTATCCAGATGTGCTCATGCTGCCTCCTCTCAGCCCCGCTTATTCGGTGTCTATTGGGTCTTGCTGTGAAATGCATTAAACTTCCTCAGAGCTTCTGATAGACCTTAAAACTTCTTCTGTTCATCTTGAGAAGTCTGTTCCTGAGTGCACAGAGTAGAAGATGCATCTTGGCCTAGCTGTGTGGCAGAGGTGATGCTGGTGGCTTGGTTAGCATAGTGCCTGGTCATCTATCACTTCACCTTGGTCTGGGAATCACAAGTGACTGCTGAGAACAAAGGACAAACCAATGAAGGCAAACTTAGGTTTGAGGACAGTGTTTATTAACCCTTTGTAAATTTTGGAATCCATTTACAAATCCGATGAGTGCAAGTGCCCCTTCCCTGTACTGGCCTCACAATACAGGCTGTCACAGTCAATGGAGATGTATGTATATATGTACAGATGTTTGTATGGGGATCCGGCCTGGGGCTTTTACACTGAGGTGCATCCCTACCCTCATTTTTTGACTTTGAGATATGTCTTACTAAATGGACCAGGCTGGGCTTCAAGTTGCAGTCTTAGCCTCACAGAGTGTTGGGGTTACTGGTGTGCACCACCCCACCTTGCAAAATGGTAAGAACAACTCCCCTGACAGGCATGGAGCTCCCAGCCCTGTTTTTTTAGAGAAGAACAACTCCCCTGCTTCTAGCTCACTCATGGCTAACCTGGTTTGAAGTTCATGATTTGTAGCCTGCCTGTACAGTTAATCTCGCCATTTATGTATTCTATAAATGTGCTAAATTCGAAGGCATTGTGAAAGGCTCTGATTTTTAACCCTGTCTTGATAGCAGTAGTCTTCTATAACAAATGTGAGAGCTCATTTTCATGTTGAAATGAAAGGTGCGTGTACGCCTTTTAAAGGTTTAGCACCTATTTGATGAACCCCAAGAAGAACAGCAGCTAACTACCTAGTTTATCATCTGTATTTCTCCCACTTTAGTACCGGTTTTAATTTCTCATTTGTTATCCATTCACATGCTTATCTTTATAGTTGTACAATTTCAGTTGTCATTTATTAGAAACTTTGTACTTTGTATAGCTGTAGTCCTTATATTCCATTGAGTTTATGTATATCTCTGATGTTGAACAAAAAGATTGTTTCTGGTTTTATATTTTTTGGAAAATGTTGCAAGTGACAGCTTTAAGTAGCTTTTGGATTCTTAGTTTCTTAGGTAAATTATCAAGGGTGGGAGCCATGATTCGCTTATGCGTAACTTTTTGTTAAGCACCTACTGTATGCTGGACTGGGTCAAGGGCTTGGCCACTTGTGTGGCCTCAGTGTGCTTTGCGCTCTTTCCTATGGTGCTGGAGAGCCACTCCACCAGCGGAGTGAGCTCAGAATTGCCCAGCCCAGAGCACAGTAAAGTGTGATAGGGAAGGTGGATCTGAAGAGATGATAGTGTATAGGGAAATCGTGCATCTCCTGGCCTACCTGCTGCTTTGGGTTATTTGTACAACTTGGCCTTCTTTTATTGACATGAAGACCCCAGGTTCAGGACACTGTACAGGCTTAAACATCTTATAAATAACCTAGGTATATTTAAATTGTTTAGAAAACTCAGGAAATTTGTTTAAAGTAAAAACCATAAGACACAACTTCATTAATGTATCTAGACTAAGATTTTGTGAGTGCTTGTTGAGTGCTTAGTATATACTAGGAAGACAGATGTGCTGCATGTTACATCTTTTTTTTTTTTTTTTTTTTTGCGGAACTAGGGATTGAACTCAGGCCCTTGCACTTGCCAGGCAAGTGCTTTTTACTGAGTCATCTCCCCGGCCCTTGCATGTTATGTTCTTGGCCAGTGGAAGAGATTCACTTTACTTCAGAAAGTCCTGCCCTCCTCTTCATAGTTTACTTTCATGTCTTGGGACAGGAAAACACTTTTATTGAAAAAGTACTGTAAATATATATAAGTTGGGATGAAAACTTAGTTTTTTTCTTTGAGATAGGATTTCACTATGTAGTTCAGACTGTCCTGGAACTCACATTTGTAGCCCAGGCTGGGCTCGAATCAGGTATCCTCCCGCCTCAGCCTTTTGAGCTCTGGTCTTACAGGCATATACCACCAAACCTGCCTCATGCACCACCATACCTTCCTCAAATACCTCGTTTTTGAAATGCACATTGAGTTTATTTATTTATTAATTATGCATTTGGCACAAGATCTCACCATGCAGCTCGGACTTGTAGTGATCTTCCTGTTTTTAGCCTCCCTAGTGCTGGGATTACAGGGGTGTACCACCATGCCCAGTCTCAGTGGCATGTGGTGCCAGGGATTGAACCCCAGTCCCTGCGTTTCCCTAAGCAAGCACTTAGTCTGCTGAGCTATCTCACCAGCACACGTTGAGTTTAGTGAGGACTCAGAGTTGAATAAAGGGGCCATCATATTGTGAATTTCAGTATGGCTGACTGGTGGAAGAGAAATGGTAGGTGGGTGGTTATCTGAAAAGTTGCTAGTGTTGTAGCATAGTTTCTAAGAATTATTAGAAGGGCCAAAAAGAAAGTAGAATTAGCATGCTCTTACTACCTGTAACAGGATTGTAATGTCATCTTTTTTATTCTTTCGATCTGGTCATGCAAGCTCCAAAGCAAATAAGTTGGCCTCCTTCCTTTTCTAGAGCGCCGTGGGGACCCCGGCTCCATTGTGACTCTGTGGTCCCCCTGTGATCTTGGCACCTGATATTCCCCTCTTCGTGGTGATCCGGGCTGTGGTGCCCTCCAGAACTGCTGCCCCGAGCCAGCGCTCTGTGCTCACCTTCGTTCAGCTCCCTGTTCTGCCTTCTTCAAACACTGTCATATCCGACTGTTTTCCTTTTCTCCTGAATTTTTTTTTTCATTCACAACCCCCTCCCCCCATATTCCTAAGTGTTGGCACCTCAAGCCCCGCTGTCCTGGTTCTGCTTCCTACTTCTGTGGGGAGCCCTCAGCCCCAGAGCTTTAGGTGCCCCCTATGTGCCAACTTGGTCCTGACCTCACTCCTGACATTTGTACCCACAAATCCAGGCCCGTGTGTGGGGCGCTTCTAGCTACTACTCTCTCGAGAGCTCCCTGCTAGCGCTTGGAGTGGTCAAAGATCCCACTGCCTGTCCCAGCCATTCCTCTGGGGAGATGGCCCCAAATGTCGGACTCACCCTTAGCTCTTCTTGGCCTCTGGCATCAAGGTTAGCAGCAGCTTCCATCTTCAGAATCAGCGCCTCTGTTTTCTCTGCCATGTCCTTGCCCCAGCTACCACCTTCCTTTCCGCACTGTCAGCCTTCCAACTGCCCCTGTCTCATCTGTTCTGTGTGTAGCAGCTGGCATGATACTTATAGAGTCACGGGGACTTTGCCATTTGAAATCTGCTAATGGCTTCCTACCACACCAAAAAAAAAAAACATGAGATATGAAATTAACATGAGAATAAGCCCCTCAAAGGAAAGCATTTCCTCCAGAAGAGGCAAAGTAAAAAAAAAAAAAAAAAAAAATGTCAAAAAAAAAAAAAAAGGTGAAATCTTAAAAGAAACATCAAGTCTCCTTTCTATAGTTACACAGTTGGGCTCAGTTTCCATAGCTAGGAAATGGGGATATTGTGACCTAGTTTCCTTCGGGGTCTTTACACTGATTCACATCTGTAGTCCCATCCGTCTACCCTAATTTTGAGGCAGGGTTTCCTCAGTTGTGAAATTGTCCCGGCTCAGACTTGTGATGTCCTCCTCCCTTTCCTTCTAGAGTGCTGGGATTGTCACTGTTGAGGGCACTGATTTTTCTCTGCTTTTGTTCCTGTGCTTTCCCTAGTGCCAAGACAATTCATGCACATAATAGGCACCTAATAAATACTTGTTGGATGGATAAACACATTCAGCTTATATGAGGTTTTTTCCTCCCTTTTCAAAGCAGTGTTTTATAGCTCTCTATTTTCTGCTTTAAGTAGGAAATCTTGCAGAGGCTTGAGGTGTAGCATTTCCTTTTCCTTTTTACTTTCTACATAGTCTCCCCTTGCCCAGGTTATTCTTCAGGTAGAGGACATACTGGGGTCACCAGGAGGAGGTAGGTAAGTATAGAGGACAGGAAACAGCACAGATCTGAATGAAGGAATCCTGAGAACAGTGTTAATTGGTTTAAAAATAAACTTTCTTCCTAGTGATTCCTTATCTCTTCATCCTATTTCAGTAGTCACTGTCAACTTGACCATTTGTTGAACAGCTAGCATTTAATTTGCATATTGTCCATGGCAAAGAAATGACCTGTTTATAGTGGTACGAAGCACAAAGTGATCTTAATTTGGGTGTCATTGCTGTCTGTGAGCCCAGTGTGGACAGGTTAGGTCTGATTTTAAAGATGTCATAAAGGTCTTGCAATATCTTTTCCGATTCATTGTTTGTGAATGCCTGAAATGTCACCATTAGTTAAACCATAAATTTATAAATTGTGAATACCCCTGAAAGGGAAAGTGCATAGAACCCATTGGCGGTTGTTCTTAGTGGCATGACAGGTAAGTAACTAAGTCTGATGAGATGCACAGCCTCCCGGGACCCCTGGGTGGCCGAATGACAACCAGTTGCCTGGTGGTGGGCCCTGCCACCACCCCTGCACTGGTGTTGGTGGAAAGAGGCTCCCACACCCCATTGGTGGTGCTCTCGGCCACTTCTGGGGGGCAGGAGGTATTGGTGGTGGGGACCCCTTCGGATTGCCGTGTGCATCTTGTAGAAGTACCGCTCTGGCTTACCCATTGCTTGTTTGTTTCTAGGTGTCCTGCAATATATTTAGAACTCTCCCGCCCAGTGACAGCAGTGAGTTTGACCCAGAGGAAGATGAGCCTACCCTGGAGGCCTCGTGGCCTCACCTCCAGGTAAGAAGGATGGATGGGTACTTGAGCTCACCAGTGACTCAGGCTAGAGCACCTTAGTGGGATGCTGGAGAGTGTGTTTTGTTTCTTGTGTGTGGTAATTAGGGGTGCCAGAGGGTAAAGCTGTACGCTTTTAGTGCAGTGCTTTCCCGAGTCCTCGCAGCAGTCCTCCTTCCAGTTCAGCCAGGAGGCTGCTTTCTGATCCCTCCCACCAGAGTCTGGAGGAGAGAACTGGGTTCTCATTAGCCTCAGTTGGATATGATTAGTTTAGAAGTGCAAAACCAAACTGCAATAGCTCGTTCTTTTCTGAAGATCATAAGGAAGAACCTGCTGTGGAATAACCTGGGTGATGGCCCATTTTGTTTTTTACAAGAGAGGCCGTGCTGCCCACTTGTGATGGTATGTGGACGGCTCCGGCACTGTGCCCTCTGTACCCCTTCACCCTCCGGCCACCTGTGTTGATCCCGTGCGTGGACTTGTTTGCTGTGCAGCTCCACTTTTCTCTGCTACCTGCTCTTGAGGCTGTCATTTCCTAAAGGAACAGATCACGGAGGTCTGAACCCAAGAGCCGCCTTTCCATGTGAGCATCTGTAGAGTTTGGGACCCAGTGGGAAGCAAGGTGGGCAGAGAAGGAGACAGCCTCGTGGACTTGTGCCCCAGGCAGGGCGCCTCCAACTTTGCAGGCTGGACTCAGGGTCACTGGTTCGCAGTTTGAGAAGCAGAGAGCTGTGCGGTGGGGAGTGAAGGCCTGAAGATGTACTGAAAATTTCCCCCGCTTCAGAGTATTTGACATAAGCTCACATCTTTGCTCACCCTCCGTTACAGCCCTGGGTTGCTGCAGGTGTGCATGTGTGCTGTTTCCCTTGGTTACAGGAGGTGTTCTGGGGCTGTTTCTCAATTCTTATTCAGATATGTTTCTCCTAATGCCAAGATTGAATAAATTAAATTAGCTGAAACATTGTAGTTGATTTACTATCTTAGTCTTTTTTTTTAAGTGCCAGACATTCTATTTGCAGCCTAGGAAGTTTGTAAAATTGTTTGTGCTTTTCACAGGTAGACCAAAATCCCAACACATGCTTTTGAGTGGGTGGATTGCTTGGCCTATCTTATGCTTAATCCTGGGCATAGTTCATTAAACTGCAGTTTAGTCTGGAAGAAAAATAAAACAAGAAAGAAAAAGAAAAAGATAGCCTCCTCAGGAAAGCCTCGTGTTTTATGGTAGAACCAGCAAGGAGAGAGCTGTCTTCAGAGTGTCACCGTGTTGGCTTCTCTGTGTCCCAGAGAGTTAGGGTGCTTTGACCATGTGTAAGAAGATTTTGAGTAGTTTAAATCATGCTCATTATTGATACGAATGCCCCCCAAAGTACAGTAAAGTTTAACTCAGTATTTTAGTCAATTCTTCCTGGACCTAATGACTATCAAATACAGGGCTAATTTTTGAAGCTATAAATTATGCCATTGAGGAAGTCCAGCCTACACTGTGAGTACTGCAGGAACATTACTCATTAGTTCTTTGGAATCCCCAGAGCCAGCGCAGTGGGGTGGGGGTGGGGGGCAGCAGCCCCGCGCCCCCTTATGTGTGTTGTCACCAGCTGTCACATGGCCGATGTCTTTGCTGTCCCTTCTCTAGCCCCAGGGGAGATGGGATCCACCAAGTCTGGATCAAGTGAGGGACACTTACTTTTAAAATTCACAAATCATCCATCACTCATAGCAAGGTGAGACTGGAAGGTGCTCTGTTGCCATCAGTTGCTTTGTGGGGCTCCTGACCACTCTCAGGAGCCCAGGGTCTCCTGAACAGGTGGGCACCTTCCCGCCTTCCCTGAGAGGCGGCTCTGCATTTGGCTCCAGTTGTCAACCTGTTCAGCACTCCAGAAATCTCTTTTTATATTCATGGCAACTCCTTCATGTCAGTTATTCTTGACTAAATTCAGTATTTTACTTTTCAGGCCAGTGAGATAGCTCAGCAGTCTAAAGCGCCTGCCTGCTTAGGCAAGCTTAAGCAGACGTAGGGAACCTCGGTTTGATCTCCAGCACCATATGCTGCGCCAGACCTGCCTTCAGGGTGGGCTGAGCTGGCAAGAAAACAAAACAAAACAAAACAAAAAAACCTTTTTAGTTGACCCAGCAATGTATCTTTTTTCATTAAGGCATAGTGGGCTATGAGATGTTTTTACTTTTTGAATTCCATAACTAACAATATGCGTTCTCTTCTGGATAAGCTCTTACCTGGAAGTAAAGTGTAAGTTTCTGAGAAGAAGAGAGCAGTGGAGTGAGTGACTTGGAGAGGTCGTCCCCAGGCTCACTAAGCTCCTTGTGCAGCTCTTCTTTTGATTAAATTGTGGGCCAAACCAAATTGTCATGACATAAAGTGACTCTTTGAAGATACTTAAAAATAGACGAAATAATATTAAATCTACAAATTTTTAGTTTAAATGTGTCAAAGAGGTCTACTATATAGATGATTTATTTATTTTTGTATTTTTTTAGGGAAGGGTCTACAGGGTGTTCAGGGTCTCACTACTAGATTGGACTTGTAGTGATCCACCTGTTTACAGCCTCCCAAGAGCTGGGAGTAGCGCCACCATGCCCAGTCTCGATTGCTGGATTGAACCCCTGGCCTCTGCGCCTACTTGCAGGTGCTGTAATCCGCTGAGCTATTTGACCGGCCCCTGTATGGATGTTATTTGATCTTTTTTATTATCTTTACTGGTAATAGTGTCTTTTAAGCTGGTTATAGAATTGGCCATGATTATTATTTATGTGTTTTCTGAAGAAGTCTGTGATTTTGCAGGACTTTTTGTTTGGGGGTAGGAGGTTTGCTTGCTTGCTTGCTTATTTATTGTCTCTTAGGTAAGGTGTTTATATTTTTTTATTTTAGGGAAGGGTCTACAGGGTCTTCAGGGTCTCACTACTAGATTGGACTCCTAGTCATCCACCTGTTTACAGCCTCCCAAGAGCTGGGATTACAGGCACACGTCACCATGCCTAGTCTTATTGTCTCTTTGAGATAGGGTTTCATTATGCAGTTTAGGCTGGCCTTGAACTCATATGTAGCTCACACTGGCTTCAAACTGGCAGTCATCCTCCTGTCTCAGCCTCCTGAGTGCTGGGATTACAGGCAGTACTTTCATTTATAATTAAGGTTTTTTTTAATGCTTCACACTTGAGGACTCCCTCCCTCCCTCCTCCTTTTGTTTATTTTATTTGATACAGGGTCTCACTATGCTGCTTACGCTTATAGTGATCCTCCTGTCTCAGCCTCCCCATCGCTGGGATTACAAGTGTGTGCCACCACATGTGGCATGTGGTACCACGATCGAACTCGGGTCCTTGTGCTTGCCAGGCAGTGCTGAGACTACTAAGCTATTACTCCAGCCCTCCCCCTTTTATTTAAGGAAAATAAAAAATTGGAATGTAAATTTTTCTTGCTCATGTTCTTTAAGAATTCATTTATGTGAGCTTGAAAAGTGAGTGATTTTCCCCTTTCCTTGGTGTCTCCCTTTAGAAACTCTAAGGGGATTTCTGATTCTGAGGTATAATCTGTCTCTTCAGCAAAAAGCCCCCCCCCTCCCCCCCCTTGTGGTCTTGCGGATCGAACTCAGAATCCTGTGTGTGCCAGTCAGGTGCTTATGCCACTGAGCTGTCTCTCCAGCCTGCAGAGCCTCTTTGTGCTTACTGAGAAGGTGCCTGAGCTATTTCCACCAAAGCATTGTAAACTGCAGCTGCTGTGACAGGACCACAGGAGCCAGAGCACACCTCCAGTGTGTGGAAAGTCCTGCCAGTTACATCACCCTGGACACCAGTGAGCATGCTCTTGAGAACCTTAGAGTGAGCACCCACTCTGAAGAGGCCAATTGGCGCGTGCTGAGTTGGCCACCAAAACCAGGCGTGGGGGCGCAGGCCTAGAATCCCGGCTCTGAGGAGGCTGAGACAGGAGGATCACTAGGAGTCCGAGCTGCATAGTGAGACCCTCTACCAAATAAATAAATAAATGAATAAATAAATAAAATAAATAAGAAAGATTTAAAAAAAAAAAAAAGGCCGATTGTGTAGGGCTAATGTTATCCCCTGAGTAGTCAAGAGTGGGTGTTATTGTGACCAGGAAAATAGCATGAGGACCTCAGCAAGGTCCAGATTAGTGAGAAAAGTTTTTCTGCATTTAGGCAATTTAAAGGTGAAAATGCAGTTGGACAAACCTAATTTGTTAGGAGTCTGAAGTCACAAGGTAGCTGTAAGGGGCTGATGCTTGCAGAGCCTTGGGGGCCCTGAATCTTGATTTCCAGTGGCGTCAGGATGAAAACTACTTTGATATTAGTGCAGAGCAGTAGTGCAGTATTGTTCTTCTTGCTGTATTGATTGTCTTTTTACCATTTGCAGCACTGGTTGTAAAAGCAGTGGTGGTTAGAGTTAAGAATGCTCTCGGGATATGTGTGTGCTCCACTTCTCCACAGTGAACTGCAAACTCAAAGCCAAGGCTGGGCCTTGGTGGAGATTGGGGCGCACAGTGCAGCGGGTTGGGTGGTCACTGAGTTCCTCACTGCTGTGTGTGTGTCAGTCAGGAGGGTCCTGAGAGAGCAGTGGGAATTGTTGATCTCATCAAAATGTGGCCCTGGAGCACACATCTGCACAATGGAAGGGCAGTGTGCACAGCTCCGTGGACTGCACGCCGCGGTGTGTGGCCACTCTGGAGAGGCGCGTGTGCTGGGCTGGCCAGGGCTTCTGTTGCTTAAATGGAAACATCATTTTTTTGTTGAACAGAACCGTTTGTTTTTGGCAGATATGTTTTCTGAGAAACAAACAAGGAAGCCAATTGATAGTATTTATTATCACTAATAGGATTAGAACCTTTAAAGCAAAATTTAGAATTAGAATTTTATTTTATTATTATTATTATTATTATTATTATTATTATTATTATTATTTTTGTCCTGGGAATTGAACTCAGGACTTTGTGCTTGCCAGGCAGGCACTCGTACTGCTGAGCTATCTCCCCAGCTCTTTTTTTAGCAGAGGCAAGGTATCACTGTGTAGTTGAGGCAGCCACGGAACTCACTATGTATGGCCTAGGCTGGTCTTGAACTTGGAGCAGTCCTCCTGCCCTAGCCTCCCCAGTACCACCATGCCCCACTAGAATTAGAATTTTAAACAGCCTGAATCAGTAACTCAGTGAGCCAGTATTTTCCAGGTGGTGAGTGAGTGATGTTAGGAGAAGCTCCTGGGTAATGCATTAACACAAGGCAGATGGTTGGCCGTTAGTGCAAAACAGTGAATTCAGTGGCGCTGTTCAGGATGCTGTGTTGCAGCGAGTCTTTAAGAGATGGCAGTGTGTTGAGTTTCAGGGTAGTATCAACGAACGTCCACAAACAACTGTATGAAAAGAGTACTGAAACACTTTCCTTTCTCCAAGTGCCAGACCCATAGGTAGGGGCTTGGTTTTCTCTTGATACTTCAACTGAAGTAGTGTGGCTCGGCAGATCGAGTACAGAAGCAGATGAAAGGCCGTCTTCTAAGCCAGCCCTTAAAGATATTCATTAAAATAGAAAATTATGCTTCTTTTACACCTGTTTTTGCAAGTTATTTTTCACAAAACTGTTAACATGTAATACAACATTTTAATGTTGTAAAATGAAATACCAGGGCCAGGGGCATAACTCAGTGGTTTAAGCACCTGCCTGGCAAGCGCGAGGTCCTGAGTTTGATCCCTGGCACCTAAATAAGTAAATAAATAAATAAAACGAAGTACTGTGCCACTGTTATACATATTTTTAAATTTCTCAGTTTTCTAATATATGTGGTACAATTATGTATTACTACATAGACACGCAGTGTACATATCT